TCTGGGAGTCAGACCTTTTCAGTGACAGAAATTTAGAATTGGACTCACTTTAGAGGATATATAGAGTATGGCACAAGTAGTGTGTACTTGCTTTTACCTTGGGCAGTGATGATCAATATTTATGCGGTGGGTTAATAACAACCTTTCTGAGGAAAATGTAAGATCAAACTTACTACAGGAGTGAATGTTAAAAGAGAAGTGGACAAAAATAGATTTCATGCTTTATTACCATCAAAGTCTGTGTCCTGCATCATGTCCCCAGATTCTCTAACACTGAATTACTGAGGGACTGAAGAGATAGTATGGTGGGTAGAACAGTTGCATTGCATATGACTGATGCACGTTACTGATGGGGGACAGCTCAGATGGCTCCCTGAGTCCTTCCAGGAGTGATTCCTGAGTGCAGGGCAGAGGAAATCCTGAGTACCATCAGGTATTCCCCACCACTACCACCAAAAAAAAAAAAAAAAGATTTGTTTAAATTTTACTAAAGTAGACAGTTAGACAGGGAAGAACCCCTTGACAATGGATTTCCTAAGAAATAATAAAACCAACAGGGCCAAGGCTGAACACAGTAACCAAGCCCTGATAAGATCCTCACCTGGCACCAGCCACAGACCAGAGAAAGCTTGGGACCCCCTTCTGAGAGAAACCCCAGCAGGAACCAAAGGGCAGGAAAGGAATTTCAAAGAAGGCCATTGACCACTCCCAACTCAACCCCCTTGGCAACCACCCTAGCAACGGACTCTTACTAGGTAGAAAAGCCCCGCATGGGGCAGATTGGAAAAATTCTATAAAACCCAACTTGAACAGAGGAAGCCTGGGCATATGCTGCCTGGGCCCATGTGCTACTTATGTCCATGTGGCCGAGCACAGGTGGCGCCCAAGCACATGTGTCAGCCACATCTCCCTTCTGGAGGTGTGTGCTTTCATGCTTTCCTATCTAATGCTGGGATGTATGTAGGGACTCTCCATCTTTGGAGAAGCACATGTTCTCTCTTGAGTGCATTATTCTCTCTCACTTTTTCTCCCTCCTTCCTTGTCCACATAAACACTTTTTTTTAAACTTCACTGCTTGTCTACTCCTGAAATCCCTTTCTGCAAGGAAGACAAGAACCTCTAAATCCTGGGTGAGACCTAGACCCGACTCCGTGCAGGGGCTCACTTCAGACTTGAAGTGACTGATCTAAGACTTTCTTTAGATCAGTTCTGGCCTTCCTAGCAGGTACCTGGGGGCAAAAGCTGATCGGGAGACAGTGACTGTCTCTCTCCTCCCCACCTCATATAAGACCCACTGGCGGTGACCACCGACTTCATCCACAGTGTGTGAATCTGACACACGTGAAATTCTGGTCCAGTGTTATCTCTTTATTATTTTGGAGGATACAATTGGAGGTGCTCATCTATTATTCCAGGCTTTGTGCTCAGGGATCACTCCTTGTGGTGCTTAGGGGATCATGAGTGGTGCTCAGAGTCAAACCCAGGTGGGCTGCATGCATGGCATGTGCCTTACCTGATGTACTGTCTTTTCTGCCCTCACCTCCCTTTTCAGACCCCTGCCTTTTGGGAAATATAAAACCTTGAAAAGTGTGATATTGCTTGTAATAAAACCAGTGGATTGCATAGCTGTGTTTTGTTTATTTGGGGGCTTTGGTTTCCATGCAGAGTTCGTACAAAGCTAAGAATGCACGGAATTTTCCTGGAAGGAATGCTATCATCACTTGCCTTAGGTTTCAGGAAAATGCAAATACGAAACACCACCACAGACCACCACAGACCATTATTTTAAAAAATGTGGGCCACATGGTTAAGTATTTAAGTAATTAAATATGTGTTCTCACTATTCTTCACAGATATCAAATCTACTGTCAGAAAGATATCAAATTCTTCATGTCAGCTGTTTATTGCTTTGTATGTAGGCCAGTGGTTCCCTTTTCCCCAGAGGTCTTTCCAGTATAAACCTAAGAGTAGGGGCAAGTTTCCTACCAAATGATACTTCACTAGGGGCTTTCTTGGACTTTAAAACACCAGTAACTGGAGCCAGTTAGGCTGGATCTGCAGCTTGGATAGCACTAATTCTTGCTCTCTTGGTAAGTTGAGTCCAGTGACTCAAACAGAAGTGTGGGTGTCAGTTCTCAAATTCTAACTTTTTTTGCTTTTTGGGTCACACTCAGCAATGCTCAGGGGTTCCTCCTGGCTTTGCACTCAGGAATTATTCCTGGCTGTGCTTGGGGCACCATATGGGATGCCGGGGATCGAACTCGGGTCGGCTGCGTGCAAGGCAAATGCCCTACCTGCTGTGCTATCGCTCTGGCCCCTCAAATTCTAACATTTGAGTCACACAATTCATCTGCAACCGTATGACCACTTTCCCCATTGCTTTATTTCTAAGACTCATTTATCTTGTGTCAGCCTGCCTTGTTAGGCGGGAGTCCCGCCAGGGCAGGAACTGCATCTTACTCAGCTCTGGATCTCTAGGCTCAGCATAGCATTTGGCTCATTGAAAACACTTCCAGGCATATAATTAGATTCTGCAGTTCAAATCTGCCAAGTATTGTCATTCCCTAAAAGGGCATGCCTAGTTCTCGTTCACCAAAGATCATTCCTCTGATTTCATAGACCATCCACCATGAAGGGAGGGGGATCAAAACTAGCAAATACCACCCCAAGACCCTTGGGGTCATTCATAGCAATTGTGCTGTTCTTGTGCTGTTCTTTTTGGTAATTCTCTTTGCTGGAATCATGTTGTGTATAAGTTCCATGTCATCATGCCATCTTAACTTAGGTTATACACAGTTCTGTCTCTTACACTGAACATGTCATCTCATGTGAAATAGTTTCCTTAAAATTTATAAAAAATAAAATTAATTTCTTTAAAAATAAAGTAGGGAGAGCTTCCTGTTTCTTTATGGAAGCAATAGCTACCATGTTTTGCAAATGAATACTCTCTTTTGCTTCACAAGATATTAGGACTCTTGGCCATCAGCAAGCTGTCAAACTATAAAAGTGCAATATATAATCCAGATCTCTAGTCTATCAAGTTGTAAGATTGGAATTTGATGGTGGTAGGTGTGCAAACTTATGCATATTATTTTCAAGGACACTAGCTTTCAGTTTTTGGTAATGAGGTTGAGCAGAAAAGAGGAATTATTTTATGGATATTATGATGTCAATATTTCTTCAATGTACTAGCTATTGCATATACAGTACCTTGTCTTGGCCCATTGGGCAGGTTTACAAAGGATGCTATCTTGGCTTCAAGGAGCTCACTGTTTAGAAATAATGTTAACTTTAAAATAACATTATTTAATTTATTGAGCACATACTTTGTGGTAGGTAGTAAGATAAGTATTACTAGATATACTACATCAGGGATTAGAAAATTATGACCATAGGCCCAACTCTAGTCCACTATCAGTTCTGGTGACGTTTTATTGACATACAATCATGTCCATTATGTATTGCCTATGATTTCTTTTTCGCTACAATGGCTATAATGCCAGAGTTGATTAATTAACATGAGATTGTCTGGCCTACAAAGCTAAAATATCGTCTAATACTTTACATAAAATATTTTCTGTCATTTTCTCTATATCATTCAGTTTTAAAGCAATACTCATAGATAAACTTGGTTTTCCTCACTTTACAGTTAAGGTAACTGGAGATTTTATTATATAGCTTTATAAATGGCAAAGTTTGGATTTGATTCTCAATTTGTCTAATTAAGAAAAAAATCCATGTTTCTATGTACAGAAATAGTCATAATACAATGTAGAAAAAACTAAGAGTCTTACGTTTTTTCCACAGAAAAACTGTTCCTAGAGTTCAGAAAACACTTTATTTTGAATACAGGCTAATATAGATTCTGCTAAAGAGCATATTTGAACACACACAAAAATGAATCGTAGGAACTGTCTCTCACAAGCTTAAGTCTAAGAAAACATAAGAGATCAAGTTCTCATATTGCCTTCAGCAATATGGAGTTGTCAATGATCATGCCAAACCATTCATTTTTTGGGGGGGGTAGGTGGAGTGGGTGCAGGGGATGTGCTGTTAATGGTACAGGCTGTCTCACTCGGGGCACCCAGAGGGGGGCCGATGAGAGCCTTCCCCACCCCAAGGGACCAGCCCCAGCAGCCGAAAACCTCCAGAACCCAACTGCAGTCATGCTCACAGCCAATACCCACACACTTGGGCTGAGCCTCATGTACAAGTGAACGTATTCCTGGACCTCTTGGCTGCATTTGCAGCAGCACGACACATCATAAGACACTCCCTACTCATTCTACAGGGGTACCACACACATTTGATGGGGTTCAAATAGTAGGCAACCAATCGTAGAGGGAAATATATATGTATATGCACATATACATATTTTTAGATATATACGAAAGCTCACATCACTCAAGCTTTAACAATATGTTAGTGATATCCTAAAGAATGTCTTAATGGCCCCTGACAAAATAGAACAATCTTCACACTGTTTCCTCTATGAATACTTTTTTTGTAGCATTTTCAGTGGTTTTTCATATCAAACAATACAAAATATATTATTTTGGGTGTGCTTTGGGACAGGGATTGGGGCTTGGGAAGGAAACATCCCAAATATGTGGGAAGGTGTCATGGTGGTGGGATTGGTGTTTGAATATTAAATGTAATCAAATATTGTGAGCTACCTTATAAAATAAAAAATAAAAAGAAAAAATGAGAATTTGTGCATTTTACTTAATGGTAATTGAGATAAATGACTCAAACGTTCTTTACTGAGCAATCAAAGCCCTATTTGTGCAAATATTTACCATCATTTTCCTATCATTTTTCAAAATGTAAATGTTTTGTGCATAATCAACTTCTGAGACCATTGGGACCTCTGGTACTCTCATGGAAAGATAAAAAGGAGACCACAGAAATCAAATATTCATGCACATCTTGCCCTACTGGATTAGGCAGCTTTAGGTCAGGAGAAAAATGTTGAATAGGTTCAATTAAAGCAAGCTTACCTGATACTGTAGAGCACTTTGCCATTCTTTGAAATCCTAAGCAGTTTATTGTCAGTCGTGACATCGTGGAAGTTGGCACCCTTCTCATTGGCAAAGAATAAATCTGGTTTCCAAATGGAGTCCAGCATGGATGGGTCCAAGTCCAGGGAATCATCAGGATACTCGCTATATGCCAGCCGAGAATCGTTCCACTGCTGTCTCAGAAAAATGTTCACTCGGTAGTCCTATAGAAATGCCATATATAAGTTGCTTAGAGCCCACTCTAACACAAGATGTTCATCTGCATTTCCTGCTTTCCCCCTGATTTGGTACAATGTTGGTTGGTGTCTTAGTAAACCAGACTGAGTCTAAGTTGGTAAAAACAAACCGCTCAAGTTTCATCAGATGTGGGAACAGAGGTGGGAAACGAAGGAAGAAGCCTCTAAACCAGAACACTAATGGAACAAAGAGATTGACATGCTTGAATTATTATGTTTAAATTATTCATTTGGGGAGAAAATAATACTAATTCAAACGGATTTTGCTTTTGAAAAAGTTATCTATGAAAACACAGAAGTCGATTTATACTGGCAGGTTGTCAAATAAGACTGGTCTGTTTTCCAAATCAGCTGAGGTGCTTTGGATAGATGGAAACCCACTCTGTTAATTTGGGAGTGCAAATTGTATGATAAACCTCTTGATATTGTGGGGCTGGAGCGATAGCACAGCAGTAGGGCGTTTGCCTTGCATGCAGCCAGCCCAGCCTAGCCAGGTTCGATTCCTCTGCCCCTCTTGGAGAGCCCAGCAAGCTACCAAGAGTATCTTGCCTGCACAGGAAAGCCTGGAAAGCTACCCATGATGTATTCAATATGCCAAACACAGTAACAACAAGTCTCAAAATGGAGATGTTACTGGGCCTGCTCGAGCAAATTGATGAACAACAGGAAGACAATTTAACAGTGTATTGTGGGGCAACATTTTCAAAACTTGGCAACATAAATACTACTGATGAAATTAAGTATGTTCAGCAACATACTTTAGAAACTCTTAAATATTTTCTTATTTCTCTGAGTGGAATATATATGCAGTAATCACCTTATACTTCATCAGATAGGCATCTTTTATGTTTTCTTAATCAGATCACCTTCTGACAAAAGTGTTTCTACTGGTGGGAGCCTCAAGTAAACCCCTGACATTCCTACTTTTTCTGGAAATTTCCTTTTGTGCTGTAACTACACTCCTGCGAATTTCTATTTAAAGAATTTTAGGTTTATGGAAATGCATCCTGCATTTCATAATCTGAACCACATCACATTAGAGGCTTCAATAGTATTTATTCCTTAGTCTTGCAGATATGGTGCAGAAATAATACTTGTCTATTCCTATAGCTTGAGTTCATTTATCATGATATATACTAATTCCTTTTTTACTCTCTTTACCTTTTCTCACCAACATTTGTTTCATCTCCACATCTTTGGTACCTGGATTTCGGATCATTGTTTAGTTGATTCTGAAGTTAACAACTTGCTGATCTGAGAACTTCCTAGTTTCAGTCCCCAGAGTCCCACATTGAGGAAATACACTCAATCCTAGACAAAACTGGGGTGGTTGGTTACACTGCACAGACATTGGAGACAATCTTGGGATGGTCAATTTTGGTTTATTTCTTTGGAACATAAAAAATAAATGGTAAAGGCTGGGCTGTATGGAAAAGAGTTCCTTCTATTTACTAAACTATCCAAATGCCTTTGACTTAATTTAAAAAACAGGCATCCTGATAGTCAAGCTGAGTATTTTGTAGCAATAGCACAGCGGGTAGGGTGTTTGCCGTTTGCCACATGGCCAACCCGGGGACCCGCGATTGATTCCTCTGTCCCTCTCGGAGAGCCTGGCAAGCTACCGAGAGTATCACGCCCACACGGCAAAGCCTGGCAAGCTCCCCGTGGCATATTTGATATGCCAAAAACAGTAACAACAAGTCTCACAAATTTGTTGTGTGATGTTACTGGTGCCCGCTCGAGCAAATCGATGAACAGTTGGAGGACAGTGCTACATTGCTACAGATATTGGAAAGAGTACCCAGTACAAGTCTAAAGAAGGATAATAAAGATATATTAGCGGTAAAAATTAGTCATAAAAATCCAGCTTATTTGGAAAGTCTGAAGTATATTTAAAAACATGCATTTTACTTCATTGTGCAACATAGGCACTTTCTGACTTGGCAATTCTTCTCAGTTGGGGTTTATTTGGGATTATACCAGGTTTGTGCAGCATATTTTCGGCATTAGGAGGATGCTGTTTGGGCTCCTCTAGGCTTCCATCCCATCCTATTTGTTCACTGGCTTCTCTTGTGAGCCAATTAGTAGAATGGCAGAACCTCAAAACTTTCCTCATCTTGTATTTTTGGAATTGTCCGAAGGCCTAGAGTGTTGTAACTGAAACTTGGTAAGCAGTTTAGTGTTTTATTAACAACACAAGCTTCTGAAAGCTCTAGAGTTTTATATGAGTCAGAAAGTGGGGCTGTGTGATCTGTAATAAATTTAAATGGGGCTGTTGAAAGTATAATAATTCAAATTTACATACAGAAGATACATCAACCATAAGATTTCCCTCAGTTTTCCTGACGGGAGAAGTGTTGTTTCTTTAGTGTTTGACATTCACCCCTTTTACTTCCTGAGAGCCATTTATTCTGGACCAAAATGATCATGCTTCAACAGTAAGTCAAAAAGAAGAGGATCTGTCCCTTGGCCCTCCCTGGAGGTAGAGAACTCGAAGTAGGGGAAGTAATGACAGCTGCAGGTAACAGGTATCTTAGGCGAGGGTCCTGGAGAAGTAGTCATCAAATGGGAAGAAGCCATGAGAAAAGAAAGAATCAGCAAAGTCCCCAGGACTTGCACAGTTCTTGCAAGCCTCCCTTGCATCTGGCAATCACTTAAAGATGCATATTGAGGGATTTTACAGAACGTTTCATTTGTGGCACTTAATAGGAAAACATTGACAGTTTAAAATTCTTAGTATAAATTTTTACAGCTAATGTATGTCTTTTTGTTAAAGTTTCTCTCATGGGTATTCTCCATTGTTTTTTGATTTTCTATTTTGAATTCTGTATGAGTATGTAGAAATAGATTTTCCCAATATTAGAACTTAACCCCTGCCCCGACAAGATTAGTTATATCACAATAGAACTATTAGATCAGTGATTTTCAATTTTTTCCCTACTGTGACCCCCTTACAACCTTGTTTCTTTCTTTCTGCCCCCCCACCATATTCTATTGATTGGTTCCCTAGTCTTATGCCATGGCCACACATTTTACTTTTTCACCTGTGACCCCTCATTGGGATATCCTGGGGGCTTTCAGGGACCATTTGGACCCTAGTTGGGAAATGCTGTGTTAAATATCTAACAGTTAAATTAATACTCCCCTTTGGAAGAGCAGCTAAATGGAAAATTTAGAGGAGAAATATATTTTATGCCATGATGACAGAGGTTATATGGAACAGAACACTGGATCATTTGTATTTTTAAAATGTATAGGAATAAAAATTTTCGTACATTTTTATGATCAACAGTATAATTAAATACTTACTTTTCAAAGATCTAAGAATAGAAAAGAAAACCCAAGGATCTAAGGAAGTAAATAAAAGATTTTCTTGTGTTATACCTCTTTAATTTTTTTAAAGTTAACTATTATTTTCAGTATATGGAAAAGATTTGATGCATGTCATTTATCTGTGTATCATTTCTGTTTATTTACAGATGACATATTTTTCTCTCATATTTTGAACCACAGGAGATAATTACATTGTTCTGTGGTATTTTTAAAATTTTGCTTCTAGGTTTAATGAAATATTTAAAGGGAACTAAATATTAAGAGACATGCTTATAAACAAACTGAATTTTCTTTTGCACTGCCTTCTGTCTCTAGAAACAGATTCTACCTTGAATAAATTACCTATAATGACAGTTGTTTCCCCATGATTAGTTATCTGGGTATAGAATTAGGTAATGGAAACAAAGTATAGGTGTGTGTGAATACATATGAATATATATCTTTTATTTTCTAAGAGCATTTATCTAATTATATTCTTGACAGAAATAATCTAGGTACCTACCATCCAGATACTATTATTTCATACCAAATTTCAAATTTCTAAATTCTCACTTTTTTGTACTTTGTATGGCTCATGCCTTAGAGATTATTTCCTTAAATTGAATTATTTTTACACTATTCTGTTTAGTCTAGCATTTTACATAGATATTATCACTTTGTCTCATACTTCTCTTAAACCTTACTATTTATCTCTTACTATTTTAGGGCTATATGTTTTAAATCCAATTATGTTATAAAATTGTCAAAGACAAGGATGTGATCGGATGACTTCCCACAGTGCCTATGTGGCACTTCAGTTTTATCCTCTAACTAAACTGTATAAAGCTTTCATTATTTTTAGTCTGTGATTGCTTTGATAAAGGACATTAGCCTTGGATTTGAAATCATAGAGGGCAGTTGCTTTATGTTAATTTCAGATGTTAGTTAGCACTACATTCTTAATTTAGAGACCAAGATCACAAAATGCCGGACTTGTTAGATTCTCACTTCTTTCTTAAGAAGTCAGAAGTCAGCAGTGTAGCTCCCTGCCATCCCTGTTAGGTTAGCATCTCCCTATAAATGACATGTTTCCTAGCATGAAAGGGAGCCTCGGTGTTGTTTCAGCAGTTACAGCACAGCATGTGTCCTCACACAGAGCTGTCTACCTTTTACCCGATGCCTCAGAAACGTGATTTCACATGGGACATAAAACAACTTCTCACCTAGCAGCAGTAACCAACAGCGTGTAGAATTTATCATTTGGGGTCAGGGTTTGGGGGAGCTAGATCATATTCTGTAGATGCTGAAAAGACAAATTTTGTAAGTTCCTGCTCCTTCTCCCCAAATCTGTTCAATGAAGAGGATGTCAGCATCTGCTGCCGTAGTACTGGAAGTATTCCAGCACCCACCGGTCTAAATCACAAATGACCATCCTTGGGGAAAGCTGCATACAAATATTCTTGATCTTTGTTGACATTATTCATATTTCCAAACAATGTTTTTGTATTTGGAAAGGGGATAGCAAATATGCTCCCAGTTTTGAAAATGGACTTGCTATCAGTAGATAATGATAGGGGGTGGAGAAAGGGAGAAGAAAAACTAATTGGTGAACTGACATTTTGAAAGCAAAATATGGCCTATCTCATCTTATATCCTTACTAGTCTTCGGGAGCCATAAATTGTTACATGGAGTATTCTTAAGACAGGCCAACTAGCATCAGGTAGCATCAGGTCACCATGTCTCTTCATGAACAAAAGTGTGTATTTTGGTGTAATGTATATCATCATGACATAAAACATTTCTTAGACTAATACAAATATGATATCCTATGAGCACACATCTTCAACACTAATATCTCGAAAGAGTGAGTAGCAGTATTGGGCTTTCAGTGAGTTTCTTCTTTGTGTGCAGGCAGTACCATCAATAATTTTGTGGCATTTCATCAACCCTAAGAGGGGCAAATTTGATAGTACCCAAAGAAAGCCATGTTGATGTTCTTAAAACAGATAATCATGACTTCTTATTTAGAGCAATCACCTAAAATTAAATCCATCAGTAATACAGTTGTAGCCACGGGGTGAGAGATGTGAAGCAAGAGAGCATAGTTGACATATTTAGAAATAAATTTCTGAGGTAATGGAACAACTGATTCCAGAAAACATAGGGAAAGCAATACAGTTACCTCACCCAAAGAGTATTTAATCAACATCCCCAACAATCACATGTAGTACCATGCTTAAAAGCACATATCTGATGTTCTTACTCCAAATAAAGAGAGATCAGGGAAAAATCTGCTTCATTCAACATTTGTTACCCTTTTTTGAGTCAAATTTTTGGGGGTCAAAATTCTACCATCTCCGTATGGTGGAATTAGGTAAAGGAAGTTGGGACTGTGTATGCATCAGGTGGATTGCCAAGTAGGCCCCAGAGATCTGGTAAGATAAGATACCTTCATAGTGAAGCAATTCTCATATCTATGAGTGCCCAAATAACAATAATTTTAGTATTGATACCTGTAGATCTGGACTTCACAACTTTGGGCGTATAGGCTAACCTTGGTCACTGTCTAATTTTGAGGCTAAAGTTTATTGGAGCAACACTCGTTGCCTTACTGTTGTTTATGACTGTTTCCATGCCCAAAGAGCAGAATAAGTAGACAGAGATGACTTGAGCCTCAAAATCTTAATTGTTAACTGTCTGACTTTTTATAGAAAAACGTTGTTAGTCTCTACTTTAGAGAACACGAGGATTTATTCTTTGATTTAAAAATGGCAGAGTTTCCGAAGTATTTTTTCTCTTTACAACAAAGCCATAATGAAAGAAAACAATAGTTTTTAATGCTAAATTGTCATTGTATTAAAGCTGAAAAATAAAGAACCTCAATATGCATCACCCTTCAAACCATGCGATTTACTCTGTTTCATACAGCAGAATAGACAAGCTCTTGATACTATGCTTGAGCAATGATTTTCAAATTTTCTAATAGGAAATAGGACAAAGGACCATATAATAAGTGGCCAGGAAGCATCTGAACAGCCCATTTATTACACATCTTTAATAGCAATTAAAGAGATAGGAAAAGAAGGCTAGCTGTAGCTTCAGTTTTCCATCTCCTTAAATGTTTAGCTTTTTCTTGGATTAATGAACATCGAGAAGGTGCATATTTACATTTTTGATTGAGGAAACTTAATCAAAGCAACTTAGGAGTCTAATTAATGCAATCAGCATTAGGTCGTGCAAATATTGTCATTGAATGCCATCGTGTAAAGGTGGTGATAGTGCTCTGGGCTGCTGGAAAATTTGCCCTCTGTTATCAAGATTGAAGAGAAGAGACACACACTGAATGCCAAGCCAAGCCTTGATTATTCTTTCCATGTTCAGCTTTTTCTCCTGTGGCATTTAATAATGCTATTAAATTGTCTTATTTGGTCAAAATTGTAAATGTACTACGTTCTGTCAAAGCTGTATAAGAATATTTAAATGGGCGGTAGTGTTGCATTATGCCTAATTTTTCCAGGAAAAAGACACTCTAGAAAGTAAATTATTTCTTTCTAGCATCAGGGGCACCAAAAATCAGTAATTTTTAATATGAACCTAATAGCCTAAAAGAGAAAATTCACCAAAAGGTGAAGACTTTTCATTTTACTTCCAAGAATTATGCTCATTGTTTTACTTCGTGAATGTGTCTAGGATGGGCTGGAGCGATAGCACAGCGGTAGGGCGTTTGCCTTACAAACGGCCAACATGGCCGACCTGAGTTCGATTCCTCTGCCCCTCTCGGAGAGCTCGGCAAGCTACCGAGAGTATCTCTCCCGCACGGCAGAGCCTGGCAAGCTACCATGGTGTATTCAATATGCCAAAAACAGTAACAAGAAGTCCCATGATGGAGACGTTACTGGGCCCGCTCGAGCAAAATCAATGAACAATGGGAGGACCGTGACCGTGTCTAGGATGTTGGTCATTATGAAACTTACACTTCTACTTTAATTTTGATCTTATTCAGTAATATAATTGTATACTTTACATCGCTGGACAAAATAAACTGCCAGTTGACTTAGGACTTGTATGAAGACTGTACGGAGACAAGAAAAAGATTTCATTCAAATACAATCTCCACAATATATTGTGTGAGGTAAGTACTGATTTAGTAGGGTATATCATTGATAGTAACATGGCCTTGGCATTCATAAAGGATTTGGGTGTCTTGTATAATATTTAAAATAGTTCCACATACAGAAAACTGTTTATTTCCATAAACTACAGTGAGTTTTTAATTAGTTTTAAGTTAATTCTTTTCAGAGAAACCTTGTGTTTATGTAATTGATATGGAGTTGGGACTGTTTTCTATTGCTAACAAAATGGTGTGTGTGTGTGTGTGTGTGTGTGTGTGTGTGTGTGTGTAGTTTTGTAAGGTCAGCCCTATGGCATATAATTAAATGTAGTATCATAGGAATGCCTGATCATGTTAAAACTTCTGTTATATGAAAAAAATATTGGTGTAAAAATAACCCCTGAACTGTGAATTTAATAGTTATCAAACATTTGAGGTGCAAGTATTGAAATATATTTAACTATGTGTCATTCTTATTACTGATAATTCTTCCTAAAACCATCTAGTGTTTCCGAAATATCTCTGACTGATGAATTAAAACTTCTTACATTTTAAATAGTGAACAGGTAACTAATGACTTTTCTAAAATGGAGTGTAAATGTTTTTAGAGGCTATTGAACTTGGAAATTGGCACTCAGGAAATGTCCTACAAATATCAACAGTATTTTCCAATCTCATCCCATTCCTTCACACGATGGCTTCAATGCTCAGTCCCACTCACCATTGTAGTTTCTGCTATTGACCCAAAGCTGTTGATAAATATGTTGCAGGTAACATTTACAGGAGGTCCTGCAAGTTGAACAATAAATAGAAAATTTGACAGGTTGTGTTCATGGCATAATCAAGTCACGTTTTTCTCTTGCCAACGGCACTGAGGCACTTACCATGGTGGTTTCTGTGACTGATCCAAAACTGTTGATAAAAATATTGCAAGTAACGTTTACTGGAGGACCTGCAGAATGCAATAAGAATATTGCAATAGGCATTGAAGCAAAAAAAAAATACAGCTCCATCAATATCTGTGCAAATGACTAGAGATGTAAACAAAATAAAAAATGATGGTGAAGTTGCAAAGAAATTTTACATCATGTATTTCAAATAATGACAATTTAGCAATGGCAACTTACCTGGAAGAAATTTGGATTTGGAAAATATAAGCTGAAAACTCTAAAATTGAACTCACTGTCAATAGTTGCTATCAGAATAGCCCGTGGGTGGGCAACTTTAGGCTTGTCAACATTATATGTTTAAAAAAGTGGGTATTCTGAGCTTAAGTGAAGCGGCATTTTGAACTGTGGATGGATCCAGAATATTCACTTCCTTTCACATAGGAATCTGTAACAGCGAGTCTAATCTTGATACCTCTGAATTTACCCCATTTATCATTCATTCTATTGTTTTTGTTTTTTTTTTGACCCATGCCCCAGTGGTGCTCAGGGATCATTCCTGACAGACTTGGGGGACCATATGGGATGCCAGGGATTGAACTCGAATTGGCCACATGCAGGGCAAATACCTCAGCCACTCTCTTCTCTCCAGCCCCACCAATTCATTCTTCATATCCTCTGATCCCCAGTGTGATATGATATATAGAAATACAAAAACAAAAAAACTTGTAAGAAATAAATACAGAAATGCCATTTCATGTCCATATTGTTGACTCAGGAAATATGATGGTAGCTAAGGGGTTACTATTCCTAATTCCTTATGTACTTACAGTGAACCTTTCCCCACTCTGAAGACAAGGGCTCTCATTTTTTCTTTCTGTTTGTCTTTGATCCAAGCACTTACACTGCAAAATTCTTTTTACTTCCCAGATCATGTATGTTCAGGAAGGCATGCCTGTATACTCTTTGTCCTTAAATAATGGATACATCACGGCGTGCTGAGTTCTGGCTTCATATGTTACTAAGGAATATATTTATTGCCTTCATATAGGTCCTCCCTGATGATTTCTGTGTTAAGAACATACTGCCATGAGCCATCTAGCCACTCACTGCTTTCCTCTGTAGAAATTTGTCTCTCTTTAGCTCAGATTCCCGTTGTAAGCTCCACCCCCATTGGCTGTGTACCCAACAAGCCTGTAGGATCTGAATGAAGAGGAGTTTGGCTTGAGGCCTTCCTGAAATTCTAGTAGTAAAACACAGCTGTGACCACAATTGCGCACAGCATTTTAAAATTCTACAACTGCATGTTGGAGACTTTAAACGAAGAAAGGAGATTTGTGCTAACCAGCTCATTTAAGTCTGGAGGCTTTTAGTAAAAGACAGCAAGGAGTGTTGGTAGAAGGATATATTAAGCTGCATTTCTTAATGTAACTAGCTTTTCTGTTTTAAATAACAAGCTTTCTGTGTTTATTTAATTTTTTTGCATGTATGAAATCAGAGGCACAACCATATTATCGAATTTTTTTCAGCCTATGTTTTTTAAATACTCCAAATCTTTTCGTTAGTCTCATTCCTTCCTCTCTCAGCATCTGCTAATATGCTTTCTTCTCCATGATCACTGCCTTCACTGCTTGATTTTGTATTTTTTTTCTGGTTACTCAAAACAAAACGAAGATGAGTTTCTTTCTTGGATGTAAACTTCTATAATAAATATATTTTCTGCTAGCAGAAGTCAATTAAAGAAGAGACAAATTATATAAAGTTATATATGTTTGTTTTTGACCACTATCTCTATATAAAAAATTTCCATTTAAATAGTTCAGTAAAGAATGGAAAACCTTTATGATTTTTATATGTAAGTTAGAAAATAAATAATAGGGGAAGAGATAGGAAAAAGAGAAATGGAATCTTAACAGGAAGAATATGAATAATGGAATGTACATTTTGTATCATGAATCATGTACTTGTCAGGCTTCCCTACATGTCTGGGAAGTCATGCCATCATGTATGTTTGTCCTTTCCAGTAAATAGCAGCCTGAGAATATTACTGGAATTCAGAATTCTTCTGAGGCTATCACATATTGATATAGTGTACTCAGCACATTAAAAGATTAACTAGTTTACTACTCACAAAAAGGGGGAACTTCTTGATATTCAAGTAAATTTTCTCTCTTTTTAAAATTTTTGTGGGAGGGTGGGGACCACACTTGGTGATACTCAGGGGTTACTCTGGCTCTTCACCAAGGACTTACTCCTGTCAGTGCTCAGGGGACCGTAGGGAATACAGGGATTGAACCTTAGTCAGCCGCATGCAAGGTAAATCCACCATACTATCGTTCCAGCCCCAACCAGTAAATGTTTTCTAATAAGTATGGGGGCAGAAGGGAGTTAACTCATTTGAAGTAATACCACAATAATTAGAAAGGCTGAAATTCAAAGTCTTGTCATTCTGATTGCAAAAATCTAAACTTTGAACCATTTTTCTGTACTGTATTCATTATCCTCTCTCCATTTTGACCTACAAGTCATGGCGTTTGCCTTGCACGCAGCCAACATGGCCGACCCGAGTTCGATTCCTCCGCCCCTCTCGGAGAGCCCGGCAAGCTACCGAGAGTATTCGATATGCCAGACACAGTAACAACAAAGTCTCCAATGGAGACGTTACTGGGCCCGCTCGAGCAAATCGATGATCAACGGGAGGGCCTGTCAATTTTTGGGACAATCTGACCTCTTCAATTATGTGACATTGTCTCAAGGTCCATTTGTATTTAGATATAAAACCTGAGAAGAATGAAAAGTAAACATTGTTTAGATATAGTATTAGTGTACCCATAATAAGAACTGACAAATATTAAAATATGGAAGTATGCCAGTTAGTGCCTTCTTTCATCCTTCAGTAATTATATGCTGTAAGTACCCCCCCATTTGAGGGAGGCATCCTATGGTCAGGACTTTCTCTTGGCCCTGCACCCAAGGATTATTCCTGGTGATCTCAGGGGACCATATGTGGATCTGGGGATTGAATCCAGCTCAGTCACATGCAAAGCAAGTGTTGTACCTACTATACTATTGCTCTGTCCCCACGCCCCCATTTTATAGATAAAGAAACTGAGACCAAAAGGTGGTTAATTTTCCAAGGTTACATAGTTTGTGAGAGGTAATATTTCCCTGTTTTAGAGACAATTTTCTTATCTACAGGACTAATATGCCTGAGATCAATAGAATTACCCTAATCATAAAAACTACCTACATATGAGACTTGGTTTGTAAATTCTTTGGGTTGAAAGATAAAGTTGTTTAATGTTTTTTCACTTTTAAGAGTTATCCTAACAGGTGCAAGTACTAATTTTCTTCGTTTGGGGGTCACACCTGGTGGTTTTCAGGGTTTACTCCTGGTTCTCTGCTCAGGGATCACTCTGGTGCTCAAGGGACCTTATGTGATGCCAGGGATTGAACCCAAGTAGGCCATATGCAAGGCAAGCACTTCACTCGTAATATCTGTCTATACTGTCTCTCTAGTCCTGTGATTTTTTTCTTCCCCTAATTTATTTGGGTAGTGTTATTTATAATTCTGTTGATAATAGTTGCAGACATACAGTGTTCCAACTCCATATTCACCACTAGTATCAGTCCCTCCAACAATGTCTCAAGATTTCCTACTACCCCTCAAAACTATTACCGGGCAGACTCATTTTTTAAATTTAGTCTTTATGATGGGCTGGAGCGATAGCACAGTGGGTAGGGCGTTTGCCTTGCACGCAGCCAACATGGCCGACCCGAGTTCAATTCCTTCGCCCCTCTCGGAGAGCCCAGCAAGGTACCGAGAGTATCTCGCCTGCACGGCAGAGCCTGGCAAGCTCCCCGTGACGTATTCGATATGCCAGACACAGTAACAACAAAGTCTCTAATGGAGACGTTACTGGGCCCGCTCGAGCAAATCAATGAACAACGGAAGGACAGTGACAGTCTTTATGATACGTGCTTTAGTCCAGTATGTGCTTTGGTGTTTTATGGACACATTCTTAGATATGATCACCAGTGAATTGGGCATGTGTCTGTAAACTAGAAAAAGAATTAATGCTAGTTAAATGCATCGAATTGGTTTATCAGCATAGTAAGGATAGTCCAAAGTAATTTGCAATTTGACTTGAAGAAAGGATTATGTAAACATGTAATCACTGTTATCCCTTTCCTTTTCCATCCTTATCCCTTTCCTCCTATCTTCTTTTTCCTTCTTTCCTTGCCTTTCTGGTTTTCTATTTTTTGCCTTATTCTTATTCCTTATACTACTGAAACTGGTTGAAGGACCAGAAAGAAACAGTAAAGTGACAGGGGAACTTGAGAATGCAGAATCATAGGCCTCCTACTGGATCTGTTTTCATGTTTACAAGGGGAAATTCCCCACCCCCTGCAGACCTTCTTCCTTCCTTTTAAGACTTCCTTTTAAAACTAAGATCACCTATACTTTGTTTCAGTCCTTCATGAATTTTCTTTGAAATGTTGAGTAGTCCATTAACAAAACTTCTCTGGCAAAGAATGTTTGGAAACCATAATGCCCAAAAGTAGAGAGAGAGAGAGTATGGGGAAAATTGTCCGCCATAGAGGCTGGAGGAGGGATGTGATGGCAGTGATACTGGGGACATTGGTGGTGGAAAATGTGCACTGGTGGAGGGATGGGTGTTCGATCATTGTATGACAGAAACTCAAACATGAAAGCTTTGTAACTGTGTCTCATGGTGATTCAATAAAAAAAGAACGTTTGAAAGTCACTTGAATAAGGTTAGGCACATTTCTTTAATGTGGGTTTACCCAAAGATGTGCAACCATCCTTACTCTGTACTTCCAAAAATTTTCTATCACTTCAAATAGTAACTGTAAAAACTTAAGCATTTTAACTCCACT